TTAACTAAGTCTTTTTATTTAATTTGATTTTCTATAAATTAAATCTGTTTCTCTATTTATTCTTTATCTTTTTCCATTGCTTCTATTGTCATCTTATTGTAACTTTTAAATAAAATATTTTCATATCTTTATAATATATCTTAAGATTCCTTTTCTTTTTTTGTGTTTTCTTCCAAATCTACATGTAATTTAGATTAGAAAAGGGTTTTATAATCGTTTTAATTTTAATTCTATTAAATCTTTTTTTATTAATTTGCATTTTCTTTAATTCTTTCATAATATCTTGTTAGGTGATATTATTTTATATAATTAAATAAAGCATACAATATTTCATACGATTCCACATTTTACTAATAAACTTTGTTGAACTTTTATATTTCATCATTCAAAGGAATTTATATCATTAATTAATCTAATTCAGAACATAACTCAAGAATTGTTTTTTTTAATTCTTATAATTATTCAGGGTTTAATTATTTATTAGATATCTTTTCATTTATCGTATTGAATATAATTGATAAATCTTCTTCCCGCTTTTTTAACTATTGATAATTCTTAATTAAATTTTCATCCAACAAGTTAAAATCTAGATCGATTGTTTTTTTAGAAACACTATGAAATATATTCTCTAGCCTTATACCTTTTTATAGATTTATTTATTATAATCTCTTGAGTAAATTTTCTATTATTTATTTATTTTACCCTCCTTGTGTTTAGTTATCTTTTAAATTTACTTCAAATAACCTCTAATTTTCATGTTACACGCTTAAATATTCTTACAAGATCTTTATTTCTTATTGCAATTATTCTAGAAGTTAATTATACTTTGCACTCAAGTTTTAATAAAATTCCAAATTTTCAAATTGAAAATTAATTGATAATAAAACTTTTTAGAATATTCTATATCTGTTTTATAATTAATGATTTAAATATAAAATTTCTTTTTCTTACTCACTTTTCTGTTCTGCTGCTTTTTTTTCAATAATCAACTTAAATTAATCTAATTTTTCTATTTCATTATTTATTACTTCCTTTAATTTTTTCTAAAATTCTTCCAATAATTTTATTTAAATACTAATTATTTCACAAGGATTTTAATTTTATATATTCAATTCATTGAAATTATCAAATTACCTTTACAACTCAAATATCTTTTAATCAAACCTTATTAATTCATTATTTATTAAATTCTTAGTTTATTCATTATTGTTATTTTAAT